AGAGAAGATGATGGGGTCTGGAGAAAACTGCATGATGAGGAACTTAAAAATTTGTACACCTCCCCAAATATTGTTAGGGTGATTAAGTCAAGAAGAATGAGATGGGTGGCGAATGTGGAATGCATGGATGGGGATGAGAGGTGCCTACCAGATATTGGTCAGGAAGCCTGAGGGGAAGAGACCACTGAAGAGACCTAGACGTAGATGGAAGGATAATATCAAATGGGATCTACGGGAGATAGGAGTTGAAGGCAACTGGATTTTCTTGGCCCAGGACAGGGTCCAGTGGCTTTGGTTAATTCAGTAATGCACCTTCTGATCCCATAAGCCATGTGTAGTTAGTTAGTTAGTTAGTTATCAGTTATTACCATTGTCATCTGAGTCAAATTGTGAGGTGCAATCAGCATTAGTTTTTAGGGCAATTTATGTGTAGCATATAAATAATAGAATGGTGATTGCACATACTTATTATTTATTGCTTAGTTGGCTGTGATTATTGGTTTAATTTGTGAGGATCAGTTTAGGTGTAGTTAATAAGAGTATCAACAATTTTTACATGAATAAGTTTTGTGTTAAAAATTACAAATCTTATGATAGTGTGGATCTTAGGGATTATTTCTGGAAACTTCTAGACATAGGAAGGCCATGATTATGAAAAGTATGTATACAAAGATAGACCAATAAGTAAATAAATTAATTGAATTGAATTAAATAAAATAAAATAAATGAATTGAATAATAATTAATTCACAATCTCTGCTAGCCTCTGCATATGGTTGGGCATATTGAAAGAAAACAGTTGTTATATGAATTTCTCCTATAAATTTTTGTTTGTTGTGTATTAACTCTTGATATGTTAGAGGTGGCATTGTAATAAGATGAAATTTCATTGGGTCCATTTCATATGTCTAAGCATGCTAGAGCAGTAGTCAGAAATTTATTGTATTATAAAAGGTACTTGGTTAAAATATATTTTAAAATGTTATCCAGACGTTTTTTCTGCATTTTCTTGTTAGGCGTCTATCAGAATAGTACCTTGAAATATACCATAATTACTTCCTCCGTAGTAATTTCCATATCACTGCACGCACTAATCCTCTCATTCAGCATTATATAACACATGAATTAAATTAAGTTTGTGGTTTATTTCTTATATGAACTGAAGTTCCGTGTATAAGAAGTTTCTGATTTTCTGTGAAGTATAGACAAACCTAGTCCCAATGTTAAGAATATTTGGAGACGATTTAACATTTTAATAGAGTGTGTGCCAAATCAAAATGTAAATTTTTACACTTCTGTTTTTATTATACTTGAGATTAAACTTGTTCATTAAATATAAGAATAATTCAGGTTTCTACACAAGACAAACAAGAGTCACCCTATTTCCTTGTATGTACAGTCTGTGTGGGGCTTAATTTACTTATTTGGTAGCTTCAGGCCTTCTTTTCATTTGTGTGTATCTGCCGTCAAGCACGGCAAGTTTTACCGTGTATCTTCTTACTTGACTTTCAACACTTGATGACATCTGTAGTTGTGATGTTATTCTTGACTGTATGGCAAATTAATTTCTCTTCTGCATAGATTAGATACAAATAAACAGGGAGCTTAGTCTGTATTTGCAGACATTGTTTATTTTCAATTTCAGGCATCGATTATGTAGCTGATCTAGAAATTCCCTGATTTTTTTAAACCTGAAGGTTTCTGTCTCTGTCACTTTGTGCCAATTTCAGACTCCTTACATTTATGTACATTTTATTTCTATAGTATTAGAGTACATTTTTTAAACAAGAGTTTACAAAAAGTCCTGATGTTGCACCGAAATGAAGAAACATGTTTGTGTTTGAATTCTTTCTCCTAATATCAAAACAAGGGCATAAAATGGGAAAGTGTTGTAAGTGGAAATGATGATAACCTTAATATTATATCCAAGTGTGCTGACCCATTTAAAAGTCAAAGAAGTCAACAAAACTAAGATAAAAAACGTGTTGCCTTTACATTTAACGTATTCATTTTAACTGGGAAATGAACATGTATTTTAGTGAAGTTAATCTGTCATGTTTAACAGAGCATGAAATATGTCTGTTTAATAACATCACAGATATACTGATGCACTAAAAGGAAGAGAAAAATAGACATTGTTCTAGGCCAGAGGTTCTCAACCTTTTCCAGACCTTGGATTATATCATCCTTTTGTATTGACTCACAGGCTGCTGTATTATAAATGACTACAATTTATTGAAATGCCATGGCATGTATTAAAAATGCTACCAAAGTAGGTGTAACATTGCAAATAAGTTTATATGTTACTCAGTATTCATTAACAGAATCATTCATTATTTAATCTTTCTATGTCAGGTTTAATTTCTGTTGTTGCAGTGTACAGTGTCATTGGGCTAAGACACATTTGTTCTTGGTTTTCTTCATGAAGCTGTACAGTTGTTTATATTGATAGGTAGTGCCAAATACTGATGATAGTAATGGAGCTTGTTCTCTGGTTTCATGTAAGTCACAAGCCACACAAAACATCATTGGGCCATGGATTCAGAACCCCATTTCTAGGTCATAGACATTTCTCTGGTGTCTGTTTAATAACTGTTAGGAAGAAGGAACATAATGTATATATTTATGTGAAGGTACAGTTTCAGGCATGTCTGTGCATGGAATCATCATACGAGGCGCGTCCTCAAAGTAAGTTTCCCTGGGGCCGTTTACAGAAACAAAACACTATTTCATGGAAATATTTATTGCAACAGATACAGCAAGTGTCCAGCTATTTTTCAACATATTCGCCACCGGAATTGAGACATTTGTCATACCGTGGGACCAACTTTGGCAAAGTAAGTTTGCCTGGGGCCGTTTACAGAAACAAAACACAATTTCATGGGAATATTTATTGCAACAGATACAGCAAGTGTCCAGCTATTTTTCAACATATTCGCCACCGGAATTGAGACATTTGTCATACCGTGGGACCAACTTTTAATACCTGTGTCGTAGAAGTCTGCCGCCTGGGATTGGAACCACTGTGTGACAGCCATCTCCGCCTCTCTGTCATTCTCAAAACGCTGACGCTGACGCTGACCGGACAGGAATTTCTTGAGGTGTAGGAAAAGATGGAAATCACTGGGAGCGAGGTCCGGGCTGTAGGGTGGATGATTAAACACCTCCCAGCTGAACTCCTGCAGGAGACTTGCTGTCTGTCGAGCCGTGTGCGGCCTAGCGTTATCACTGACCGCACTTCACAGTCGGCGGGAGCTGGAATAAGAACCTCCATCTTCAACAGCTGCAACGATGCTACTGTGAGAACGCGGGAGGTGCCGTTAGTGCATGCGCCATGCTACGTCATTGCTCTATCACGTACGCACAGTCGCTTCGCACAATATAAGGTTTGCTAGCTGTGGGACGAGTGGGAAACTTACTTTGAGGACGCGCCTAGTAGTTAGTGTCATATACTTCATTGAACTTTCATAGCCATCTTCTAAAAGTAGTTTTCAAACTAATCTGTGCAGCCTGTGTGTAAAAGATCTTCCACATATGCAGTTTAAATTAAACCTCTCACTCTCTTTATGTGAGATTTCAAGTTCTCATGATAATAAAGGTGTTGACCATAGTGTTTTGGTTTGACACTGTGTGTTCTTATAGATGGTTTCTAATGCTCTGTGGAAATGTCAGTAGACAGTGTTTAACAGGTTCCTACCATACTTGTCATCATTACTATCCTACTACTTCACCTTTGCTTTGTGACCCTTTAATTCATTGCTAACGAGCTTTGGAAATTTAATGCAACCAAATTGAGTTGAAAGGCATTTAGTACTATTGCATCTGCATTTTTGTTAGACATTTTTTCACTTGTTTTCAACAAATTATTTTTAAATTATATTTTTATGCAGACATTGAAATCCTAATTTCCAGTGCTTTATATTTATATGTGAAAAGGGCATGGAACTGTAATTATTACATAAATAAATTTGCCTTAAGTGTATGCTGTGCAGTTCTTAAGCTGTTGTAATAGTGACACGTTGTTTTTACAAAACATCTCGTGCACTTTCCATTTCTTTCCATCCATCATCTGGTCCCCAAATTTCTACCTCTGTCATCATTCTAGATTCTGTTAGTGACACATATAATTGCCCCAATATGTGTTTCCCAATATTTGGTGTTCTGGCTAGACATATGTTAATGCTACTTACCTTTCTCCCATTAACCTCTACTATCCAGAATTACTCCCAAGTATTTTATTTCATTTGCTACCTCTATTACCTCTTCTCCTAATTTCCACTTTTCATATTTGCTTAATTTCCCACCTTTCTTGAATAGTACTATCTTAGTTTTAGTACTATTTATCTTCAGTTTCCTTTATACTGTTTATGACCCTTTACATTCCTTACTAGTTGTCCCAACAGCTAAATCATCTGCAAATAGCAACCCTGAAACTTTTCTATTCTGCATAATTGGTGGATGTATATTTCCTTAATCATATATATATATATATATACACATACATTACACATGGTTGGTTATAGAGCACATTCTTGTCTCCATCCTTTAGCTGAATCCATCTCTTGCATTATTCTGTTCTCCTGTAACTTCACACTTATCTTGACACTACTGTACATTCCCCTTATTGCTTTTATGAATTTGGCAGATGCTCCCTTAGACCAAGGTTTACACCCAAATAAACAACAGACATAATTACAGCGGTTTTTAATCTCTGTATTTTTATAGACATACAGTTACTTGGTCTGAACTGAATGACAGCAATCATTCCTCAACTATAAACTGTATTTGACTCAGTAAATTCTGACACTTCAAGAGGGTTGGGTGTGTTAGAATGGTTTTTGCTAGGCCTAGTAGTTGTAATCAGCTTCAAAGTGGCAAGTGTACATCACCACATTTTTGTATAGTTGTTCTATAATACTTAGAGATACTTATTAAAAGGTGGGGAGGTTATGGGGTTGTAGTGGGGTATTATTTACTGAGCAAGTATTCTCTTGTTTGTAGTTGTGAGTGGCCAGTGACGAAAGATGTCATCTAAAGCCATTCGTGAAGCTTCAGGCAAAGATCTAATCAACAGAAACCTTCCTAATGGGACAGCAGCTGCAAAGTGCCAGTTTGCTTCTGTTGCTGAGAGTACTGACTGGACAGAGCTTATTTATAACAACCCATGGCTCCAGACACAGGTAATTTCTGTGTTTGTATATTTTTGATGCTTTATATAAAGATTTTAAGTGAAATGTTTTGTGTTGACTTATGCCATACTTACTTAGCATTACAGACATGAACATACGTTTAAACTTCATGTGCTGGAGGCACAAGAAAAATTATGAATTAACATTTCCCTATCCTTCAGTGAGTGTGTGTGTGCATGTGTGAAATAAAGTATTTCTCATACTGAAGTTAGTTAGAAGGATTGTTGATGGATACAGGAACTATCTGTATTAAATAATTTCTTAACAGGATGGCTATATTTTTGGTACAAAAATCAAGCATACGCCTCCACATATATACCAGAAAATAGTGTTTATTTTTTTGTTTCATAATACTGTGTTAGTTGTTTTTCATTATACTGACCTACATAAAGAAATCTCATGGTTCAACCCCATTCATATCACCCTTGAACTTTTATGCTTCTCCGTACAGCCTACTACTCCCATCCTCCTATTTCCCTCAACCTGTTCAACCATTCTGTTTAGGAATGTTAGTGGTGAAAACCATTACTACTCCCAAGCACTTAGCTTGGCTGACATAAGCTGGAAGGTACCTAAGTAGGGAAATACAACAAAGCACTGTTTTTGGGATTTCATTTTCCATAGTTTTAGAATAGACATATGTATTTATTCCAGGTTTATTTAATTTATGTTTTCTGATGTATATATAAAACATGTTGAATGATAAGGATAATTTGTGAATAATGAATTTGAAAAGATGTGGAAAGAAACGGTTATCACTTAAGAAGTTTAAGGAACTATCCTGGCATATGCTTGTATGCACTGAAGAAAGTCATGATAAAGCTCACAGTCAGGATAGCTAGTCTCGAGGCTGAGATTTGTACTTGGGAATAAGCACAAGTGATAAAAAGAGATGTTTAAATTTAATGCACAATGATTTCTTTTGTATCTTTATCCTGTGCCCCCTTATTCCTTTTCTCTGTCCCTTTCTTATCACCCTTTATCTCCTTCCCTTCTTTCTCCTATATTTATTTCTGATGTTGTTCAAAAGCAGTGAAAATACCATTACTACATCCTGCTTTACTTGAAGTGCTTCTGTAAGTTGCGAGATGGTAGTAACACTTGTAAAATAGAACATTTTCCCATGTAGTGTCACTACTGAGAATGTTTAAGCCTGTATGAGTGTAACCAAACAAACATCAAACTGGGCTTTATGTAATATAATTATCCTTTTTTGATGTGTTTTTGTTTACAGAAACTTGTGGTAAAACCTGACCAGCTAATTAAACGACGTGGCAAGTTGGGACTTATTGAAGTGAATGCAGACCTTTCAGCAGTGAAATCATGGGTTGAAGAGCGCATAGGAAGAGATCAGAAAGTTGGCCGAGCAACTGGAAAACTTAGGAATTTTATTATTGAACCATTCATTCATCATGAAGCAGTGAGATTTAACATTTCTTTAACTTGATTATGCATTTGTAAATTATGTAAATTGTTTTTAGGGTGTGCCCTTTTTTGTATTTGTTTGCAAAGAAATATGTGGTAACTTTTAATTCGTAATTCATTTATATTATAATTGTAGTCATATTTATGTATAACTACAGTTTGATCTAGATAGTTTATAGGAAACAAACAACCACAGACAGCATTTTCCATAACAGTTCATGGCATTCAACTGAACAGGAGATGCTTACCATCCATTAGGTAGCACACAGAATGAACACATTCCCTGTAAAAAACAAAAGTGATGAAGAAAGTATAAAATAAATAATAATTGAAAATCAATATACAGAAAAAAAACATCCCAAGAAATCGGTGACAAGAGTCAAAAGATACAAAACCAAAGAATGAAAATCATTATGAAAGAGTACAAAATGTTGGGCTGCTTTTACCTATATTAGTAGAGAGATGATAGCTATAACCAAACTGTTCATAGCTACCAACCTGAAAATTCACTAACATCCTACAAAATTACCTTTGTAACATTAGAAAACAAAACTATTAAAATGACCTCTACCAGAACAGTGTCAATATCAATTAACATGTTAGATTGCTGTGAAAATTATGTAGGTCAAACTGCACATATATTCAAAATAAGATCCTGTGAATACATTAAAGCTATCAGATCCAATAAATGAACTTTACATTATTCTCAATATATATTAAATAGGATGCGTACTTATAGAACTGTAAGGATACAATTGACATGTTGCAAATTACAGACAAGGTAAGTACATGACAGTACTTTTGAACAATACTGCATTTATAAAAGTAGAAAAATTGATGGAAACTTTTTAAATGCTATGTACACCAGAAATTAAAATCCCATTTTTTAAATTATTTACAGATATGTCAAGTAATAGATGACAGTACTACCCCCCCTCCACATACACACACACACACACACACACACACACACACTTACTATAACATACACACGCATGCGCTCGACAAACAGTACACCACAAGACTGACACCTCTCAGCATTATGTTCATGTAAGTACCTGTTATCATCATTTAGACTATAATTAAAGAAACACCGTACTCCTTCAGACCATACCTTTTTCAAGCAACAAAATATTATAGACTCCAACAAATACCCCACTGCAGTGCACATGGAAGGTTTATAGAATTGGTTCAACAATTTCTGCACATAATCAACACCAAATAAACACTGTAGAGAGGAAGATATCCACATTGTAAAAATTGTTACGTAACAAATAATATTTACCATACTTAGCCCCATTAAAATTTAATTTTAATGTTTAGTACATAGTTGGCACATTATATCACTAAGTTGTTCTGAAGATTATGTTCTAATATTGAAACATGTTTCCACCAAGAAACTGGTTGTAGTGTGATTTTAATTATTAGATTGTGTGAAGGTAATAATCATTAAAGAAATTTGTTGCAAGTGAACTGTCAAAAAAAGGTATGTTTATGTTATAGCATGTTATTAGATGATATAATATTATAACTTGGTACTATGTTATGGTGTTACAGGATGAAGAAGCGTATATGTGTATCTACTCACAACGTTATGTAGACACCATTCTGTTCCATCATCAAGGTGGTGTTGATATTGGTGATGTAGATGCCAAGGCTCTTAAGCTTAATGTACCTGTAGGTCACACTGTTGATGCTGCTACTATTCAAGACAAGCTGCTAACCAATGTTGTTGCTGAAAAGAAACTGTAAGTTAATAGTAGGGGGTTTGAACTGGTTTTGATGCTATTTGAGATGATGGGCGTTATAGTAACATGTAATACCGCACCTATGTACTTACAGACTTCTAATTTTGGCTGGTAACCAACAGTCTTGTAGGATACCCAAGCCAGGAAGAGGATTATGAGATACTTACTGACTTTTGTTTTAAGTGTAGACAAGGTTTTCATAAACTAAATGAGAGACTCTAACATCTAGATATGGGATGGCAAACTTTTTACTAAATAGAAACTGATCATTATTTGTCTGGAACTGAGCATAAGTGTGATTTATTTTATCATGTTTAGTTAGAAGTTACGTTATACAAGTATGCTGTTGTGTAACAGTAATTGTATTTAGTCTAAGAGTTTAATTTTATTTTACAGGATAATAGCAAAATTTATTGAATCCCTTTATCAACTGTATACAGAGCTATACTTCACATATCTTGAAATTAATCCCCTGGTTGTGACAAAAGACACAATCTATATTTTGGATCTAGCTGCAAAGCTTGATTCAACGGCTGACTTTGTATGCCGTCCTAAATGGGGAGAAATTGATTATCCCCCTCCCTTTGGTCGTGATGCTTTCCCAGAAGAAGCATACATTGCAGACCTGGATGCCAAGAGTGGTGCATCACTTAAGGTGAGTGAAAAACATTGCTTTTATTTATAATTAAGTACAGTATCTATCAGGAAACTTAAAAGTTAAAGATTACATCTTCATTTCATGCCAACTTTTTTTTTGTCTTTTCTGTCCTCATTTCTCCAGTATTCCTTTCAACAAAAAACAACAGCGAAAAATATTTGTTTTTTCAGTCTTTTCATGATCCAAATTAGAAGTACTCCTGAAAGCTGCCTAATTTTTTTCATATTAATATGTCCAAAATGTTTTACATTTTTGTCATTTTGTAATGTATAAAGTTTATTGAATAGAAGCTGAAATTGTTTTGCAGTTGACAATTCTGAACAAGTCTGGACGTATCTGGACAATGGTAGCTGGTGGAGGTGCCTCTGTCATTTACAGTGATACCATCTGTGACTTGGGAGGAGCATCAGAACTGGCCAATTATGGAGAATATAGTGGTGCTCCATCTGAACAGCAAACATATGAATATGCCAAGACCGTACTTGGCCTTATGTGTCAGGAGAAACATCCAAAGGGCAAGGTGAATTTCCATAATGAAATATTTTAGTATATCAGTATATTTTTGCATACTTTTCACATAATTCCCATCCCCTCATATGTGTATAATCTGTCTGTAATTTGAAACTTTGCACTGAGGATGGTTATTTATAATCTCATGCAAAGAAAAGTGTCTTAAAAAGATTTTTAGTTATGGATTACATAAATGTGTTTCATGCAGAAAGTACCTGATAATAAAGAATTTACCTAATATTTTATGTTTCCTTAATGTTGAAAGTTTAATACACCCTGTACTCTAATGTGATGTAATATATGACTGCAGTATTGGTAATTATTTTTTGTTACAGGTATTAATTATTGGTGGGGGCATTGCCAATTTCACAAATGTGGCAGCTACATTTAAGGGTATTGTAACAGCACTGCAGGAATTCCAGTCAAGATTGGTGAAATACAGCATCTCTATTTTTGTACGTCGGGCTGGCCCTAATTATCAGGAAGGTTTGAGGTAATTAATTACATCTGAAAAATTTAGTATTATTAGTTACATAAAGGCAAATAGAATAATGCCATGAACCATAGTGCTTTACTTTCATTTAAGTAGGTGTGTGTGTGTGTGTGTATGTACGTAGGCATGCACGCGCGCGCACACGCAGTATATGGTAGGTTTTATTTGCATTTGAGGTACTCTTCATGGATGATGTACTTGGATCATCATTTCTTTAGCTTTAGATAAATACTTATGTTTGAAGTGCTCATTAGTACAGTTGTCTCATTTTTGTTTGCTTAATATAATTATTGTGATATTGCTTAGGGAAGCAAGGTGACGAATTTTAATTTTTGTGTATGAGAGAGTTTTTTGAAGAACATTTTCATTTATTCCTTTCATGGACCTGTGTATATTTCAGAAACCAATTATCTAGTTGTTTGAAATGGGTCTCTTACAAAAAAAAGTTACAATATTGTTCTCTCAGTAAACGTTTGTTCTAATAGGGCAGTAATTGAGGTGACTGATGTTGAAACTATTCACCTATATAGCACCTTAACAAAAAAACTTATTGATAAAAAGGTGAAATAAGTGGGAAGTTGGGAATAAAACATAACAGGGAAACTAATATTGTTATAGTAGTAAATTATATTAGAATGGGATGGGTATGTAGCTTGGTTGGGATGTACTTTATGTATGGGACTTTATTCAGACTCGAAATTAAACACATTATTGGGAAAGGCATAAGGAGCACATCTCTGATGGAATTTCACTTCTAGTGGGTTCTGACAGTGGTATATTACAATTAGTATTACTGGATTTTTGGACTTGTCCGTTGTCGTATTCTTACAAGATTGTAGTATGTTGGAAACGAGATCTGTTTCTGTTACTATAGATGACGCACAGTAAAATTCAGTAACATTAATGATGAAACTTCAATGTAGGTAACAGGTTATTATTTTTTTCAGAATCATGAGAGATGTGGGACAAAATTTGGGAATACCTCTGTATGTGTTTGGTCCAGAGACACACATGACAGCTATTGTTGGCATGGCACTTGGAAAGAAGCCTATCCCCAAGGAAACAGAGGTGGAGTTTGCCACAGCCAATTTCCTCTTACCCGGTGGACAGAGTAGGGTTGGTATTCTTTCACTTCATTTTGTTAGGCTTATGTTAATGAATAGAATTAGAATTGGATTTTAATTTGTGGAAATCGATGATTGAGGTATGTCATACTATCTGGTGTTTCAGTTGAACAAAGGAGACGGTGAACCATCAATGGTAAATGCATTTCAAAATTACAGGAGAGAAAGCTCAGGGATGTGCACACAACTGATGTAGGTTAAAAAATACATACATAAAAAATGTGAATTTTTGTCCTGTGTTATATAGTACACCCAAAATTTGTAATCTAATTTCTTTATTCTGTAAGGAAAGTTGGGCCTTTTTTATTTTATCATGTCCAAACATGTTTCTCAAAAAAAATTTAGTCAGTGCATGGATTTTAATTAAACTTGGTATGTAAATCATGCCAGGAGCCAGGATAGCTCAGTCAGTATAGTGACTAGCTATGGGCTGGATGAGTGGGGTTTGATCCTTGATGGGGGCAGAGGATTTTTCCTCTAGCCTGTGCATTCAGACTGGCTCTGGGGCCCACCCAGCCTCCTATCCACTGGGTACCAGGGTCCTTTCCTGGGGGTACAGCACGGTCAGGGTGTGATGCTGATCACTTACCCCCATCTAGTGCTGAGGTCAAGAATGAGTAGGTGTTATACCACTTCTCCCCCAAGTGACCTACATGGTGTGTAGCGGGACTGCTTTGCTTTACTTTACTTCACTTCACGTCACTTATGTAAATCATGCCATTGGAAGCCACTCCAAATTCATTCTTTTTAATTTCCTGCCATTGATAATACCAGCGTAACTGGTGTGCAAGCTTCTGACATGGAAACAAGTAGCTGGATTTACTGTATCCTGACATTTTGCACTATAATAGTCCTTTGACAAATTTAACAATGATGGAATCTTGAAGGTTATATTTGTCATTTAAAACTCTTGGAATTTTGCTCCTGGGCTTTTAGTGATGTTGGCAGGAACAGTTGTGAGCAGTGGATAATATGATCTCGGACAAATGTCCGTCATGTAAATCAGTAGTTATATGCTGTTGCTCTGTCACCATGTGAAGTTGAGTATGATGTGGTAAGCAAATTATTGTTATATCTTCCAGTGCAAAGTACTGAGCACTTTCTTTATTCAGGTGTGAAATTTGTTTTCATCACTTTTGACCACTGTTATATACTTGCTTACATTGTGCTCCGTTGTGTATAAACTATTAACACAGAAATTTAATAAGAGGACAAAACTTTACAAAACACATTCATTAAATCTTTAGAATCCTTTGTGTGCATCTCTCTTCTGTATTGTCAGCATTCTGTCTTTTGTTTGTCTTGGGTAATGGAGTTTTTTTGTTGGATAGATTTCTTGCATTGCTTTGAAACTTGTAATTAAATAGAGGAAGTAGAATAAATATAGTCTTTCATTTTGTGCTACACTTTTTTTAAAGAATGTCTGGAAAATGTTTCAGTTAAGCATGCTGTTGTAAATGAAGGTAGAACTTGTTTTGTCTAACCCTAATTTTAATCAGTGCTTTTTAGAAATAAGTAAAAATTAAATTTTAGCTAACTACAAGTTGCTTGCACTCTGTATTAACTATTATACTACTGTTTGACAGTAAAACAAGTTATTGTGCAGAAATATCAGCCAGTGGTTTTACAGAGTCGTATGCAGGATCGTGTTAGAATTACTTCTGAATAAGAAACATTTGATAGTTATAAGGATGACAGGAAGGAATAAAATTTGGCAACAAAACATTGGAGGAGGTTGAAAGATATTCTTATTTGGTTAGGAAAATCTGGGAGGAAATGAGAGTCCACTGAACCAGGAAATTTTTACCAGACATAAATCACTTGGATTTGCTGAAATTCCAGAAAGTGTGAATCTTGTAATAAATTAAGTACTTGCAAATTTTGATAAACTGAGCAGAAATTTGGACATGGAGTAAGAGAGATGTAAGCAGAGCACAAGCAGTTGAGATGAAGTTGCTAGAGAATATTACATTGTGAACAAGAAGTGGTAAAATCTGAAACCAGAATATCAGAAAAGGTCTGAAAATATAAACACTGCAATGAAAGTGAGTCAAATTGAGTAATATGGTGGTGTGCACAAGCTCTGGGCAGATGAGATTGGCAGACTAAGTGGGAAATGATACATAAAAGGAAGGGGAGATAGAGTCGACACAGATACAAGACCAGTGCATGTCAGTTGATAGAGGAGAAATGGGTAATGATTTAATATAATGACAATTAATTTGGGATGTCAGCATGTGTAACATGCAGTAGATCTGTACATTTCTCATTAGGAGAATCTACAGAACAGCTTAAAATAAATTTATTACACATCATGTTGCAGAATCTCAGCATGACTTTGAGAAACTGCTCATGCTGCAGACCTTCCAGATAAAGTTGTTTCTGAAACTTTAAATTATTCTGTGTGTCTGTCAGATCTCAACCCTATCCCCACACTCAAACAAATGAAGGAAAGGAGCCTTACCTTGGACTGTTCTCTCTGATGGATCTTGAAAGCCTGGAATACATTCTCATAGTATTAACATTTCTAAGTTATTCCATGTATAAATATAGCACCAAGACATCAAGAAAATATACATCTTATGTATCTCGGCATTACTGTACTGGATCCATTATCCAGAAAAGCTGGGAACCAAGGTTTTTTAGATTTTAAGGTTTTCTTGATATTCAGATCTTTATGCAGAGGAATTTTAATACAGACAGAATAAAATTTTTTCTTTCTTCAGATACTTACCAGTACAATATCATTTTAGCCCATCCTCTAATTGTGGGCAATTACATTATTCTTGAAGACTGCGAATCATGTGTTTTACCTGTGGTTGTTGAACACTGGGGGTAGTCAGAATTTTCAATTTCATAGCACGATATTCCACAAATTTTTACACTTATTTTGCAAATTTAACTGTTTCATATATTTATTATTTTTTTTTTTGCACCAGTAAAAATATACAGATTTTAGGTCCTTCTGGATTATGGGATGCTGGATATGGGGTCTGACACTGTATATGAAATATATAATATTCCTCTTATTATGATCCATCGTAAGAGGTATGGACATTTTACCACCATCTGTTGCAGGAAGGAAATCAGTAGTGCAGTAATGATACACAAGACAACATTTTTGTTTCTTCCATTCTTCCACTGAATATGAGTTACATATATACAAAAAGGTTATTTGGTGGCTGTGTTGGGACATGGCCTTTCCACTTCACATTCAATTCCGCAGGTATGCTAGAACTGCTAGCTCCCTGTAGTGGTATACCAGAGTCACTGGCTCCCAGAGGAGTGACCTCTATAGATATCAGGTTTCTCATGCAACTTTTCTTGTGAGTTTCTACCACAAGCCAGGAAATGACAGTTGCATTTAACATTGTAAATGCACAGTACAATAACCTACAGAGACAGATGATACTTGTAAGTTATAAGATTTGTTTGTATGTTTGGTGAATAACTGGAGTTTCTTCTGAAAGTGTGATCAGAATTTTAGTGCCTCAAGGTGCAGTGATTGGCTTTGGGAGTGTAATGATTCTTTTGGTTTCATAAAATAGTGAATTTCTTATCTGGTTAAGTAACTGTAAACTTTATGAGAAAGATTCCTACGTTGGAATTAATAATGACTACTTTTCTGTAAATTTTACAGACCACTTCATGTTTTTGAAGACTTTATAAAGTAGCTTCTTATTTTAGCATATCATAAATATGCTAACTATTGTCATTGTTATATTAATTCTGTATTTTTGTTAGTTTCTGTTGTGGACGTATTTTGTGCATGTGAGTTGGCTTTGATTTGTTTACAGCAAATAAGCATGTAACTTTAAAATATTGTTAGATTGTTTTCATACATTCATTACTTTGCATGCTTTTCACAAAAACTTCAAATTACCTGAATTAGCCATGGTCTGATTACTCGAGTTTCTAGAAATTTTAATTGTATTCTTTAAGTGCTGGGATTTCAGTAACATTAAAGTACAAAAGTTGTGTATTAGCTGAGCCAGTATGTACTATTCAGACATTAGGATGCACCTGTCACTATGTTG